TGCATCTATAAAATCCATAGGGGTCTATATTACCAGGCAGGTCAAGGACACAAAAGTCTCATGGCACAGCTCATTTCTTCTGAAGAAACCATAATGATTTCCATCTTTCTAAAAAGGAATGTTTATTTTCTTGCTTCTAACTTTGCTAAGTAAATGTTACTTGCTATTTTATGCCCTGTGCTCTGTCTAACCATCCATAATATGAAGCCCCTAATATGACATTTCAGAGTTGTTGAGGCTCTTTCAGTTGAATGTATCTCAACAATACTCTACACTCTTTAAGTACATATGAACAGCCCAGGGCAGCAGAACTAAACAACTTAAAAAATGAAAGTCTCTCTACCAACTAAGGAAAACAGGCTCAAGGAATCGAAGCTCTACTATTTGGCAGTCGGTCCCATGCTTCCAGAGGGCTTACAGGCATTTTGTATTGCACTGTCCTGTCCCACTCAAGGCTAGAGTCTCATCCTTAGTTCCTCTGTTCACAAGCAGATCCAACTCCTACGCCAGTGATTAATTGCCTAATTATCTTTCTTACTCCTGCTTGGAAAGTTGCCCTCTGGCTCCTCCTCCTGGTTTTGAAATTCAGAAGGATGAGCCACCAGAAGCAGCAGAGGCTTGCAAACTACCATGGAGAAAACAGGAATAGATTTTAGGCAATAAACAACAACTGCCGAGGACAAAATTGCACCTATACAACATTTAGGGGCTTTTCTCACACATACTGCATATTTGTTACCTTTTGTCACTTAGCACAGGATATCACTGACCTCAACATCAACCTCTGATCACCTAAAGATGCTCTTCATTTGGTGTACTGTTGCTATCTAGTCTGTGAGTTCAGGAGGCTGACAAATACCCAGTGCATCAGAAGGCTCACCAGGAAGTTCCCTGATATTTAAGGGCAAAGAAGGTAAGGTTCTCAGAAACATCAAAACTGCTGCTTGCCAGTAAATAACTGAAGACATATCCAGCGACAACAAATGAGAAGCTGTAGAGAAATTGAGTAGGAAATAGAAGATCATGAAACTGGAATACTAGGCAAAGACAATTATGATAAGCAGGATAAAACGTGTAACAGAATATTTTAGAAATACCACTTTTTGTATGGAGGGAAGAAAACCAGGATGTAGGTAAAATGGTGACAAAGATTAATTTCTAAAAATGTATGAAAATTAAGGTCGAAACAAATTACAGAAAAGACTGCATGTAAAACATCAATGTCTGCTAAAAATGGAAGAAAGAAGAGTAATTAAAAAAACATAAGACCTTTACAAAACAAACATGAAAGGGGAGGTAACTGAAAAATAAAACTAACGTTTCCAATATTAAATAAGATTGAATATTAAGGAACTGTAAAAAAGAAAAACCAAGGTTTGTGGGAGGGGAACAGTAGCCCAATATTTATCCAAATGTGTGTAGTTTATCTACATGTTTTCTTAAAATACAGTAAGGCTAATAACAGCCCATTGAGACATCACATTAGAATCCTCCTCTGTTGATAATGTAAGGCACATTTACAGCATGGCTTTGATAGATGGTTTTCTTCTGAATATTTATCATTAAACCATTTTCCTTAACCCTCAGAATTAGAAGACAAACCAAGATGGTATAGTGCTAGCATCACAGCTGTACCTGGTATCAAATTTCAAGGCTGTATTTCACACATAGACTATTTTTATCCTACCTTGTACAATTGACTCTTGAAAAGTTTTGCAAAAGAAAGCAAACAGAACGGGGTGGCTGTTTAAGCCTTTTATGTATTGAGCTTGCTACATCGCTGATAAGGACCTGATTAACTAAAGGCAGTGCTGAATTTTCCCATTGCACAGCTGGACTCAATATTTTTATCACATCCATGAGGTAGGCTGAGAGCTTGTCCCGAAGGCCTGATCTCGGCCATATGCGGCAGCTGTCAGGACGCTGAAGGTACCCACACCGGCACAACGTCCTCCCCCTCCGGAGGACTCCGTGGGTCCTCATTAGGCAGAGGAAGGTGGGAATAAAATCCGGCAGAAGCATTTTACCTCAGACTTTACGTCTCCCTGCACCAATGAGCAATTTCTTCTGCCATCCTGTGAGGCAACCTCACGGTTAATTAAGGTTAAAGCTACAGGATACCAGCAGGACCTCATGTCCTACTCAGAATAACCATTTTTACTACAAAACCGATACGGATTTATACCCAAGCTTCTATTTCAACTAATTTGGCTCTTCCAACGACCGAGCCCCAGCCCCCGCGGACAGCGGAGCAGCTGCCCTCAGGCGAGAGGGGCACCAGCTACCTGCGCGGCCGCGGAAGCACCGGGACGTGACGCGGAACGCCCGGAGCTCCGGACAGCCCGGCGGAGGAGCGGGGCGAGGGAGCGG